ACTGGAGAAAATCATCAATCATAATAATTTCAGGGCTATAGGGCTGTGGGGCTATAAGGCTATAGGGCTGTAGGGCTATAGGGCTATAGGGCTATAGGGCTCTGGGGCTATAGGGTTATAGGGCTATAGGGCTATAGGGCTATAGGGCCATAGGGCTATAGGGTTATAGGGCCAAGGGCTATAAGGCTAATAGGGCCATTGGACTATAGGGCTATAGTGCTATAGGGCCATAGGGCTATTAGGGCTATAAGGCTATAGGGCTATAGGGCTATAAGGCCATAAGGCTATAAGGCTATAGGGCTATAGGGCTATAAGGCCATAAGGCTATAAGGCTATAGGGCTATAGGGCTATGGGGCTATGGGGCTACGGGGCACCCGGGCACCTGGGCACCCGGGCGCCCGGGCACCCGGGCACCCGGGCACCAGGGCGTGCCGCCGAAATCGGTGCCCCACCTCACGTAACCATATGAATACGTAAGCTCTGCTTGGGAGGGAAAACAACTCCACTCATATGGGTCACCTAACTTCGCGCATGGCGCCACGCGATGCGCGGTGTATGCGCTTTGCCGTCCTGGCTCTGTCCGGAGGGCGTGTACACAGCTACTGGGCCCAGGATGGGCCTGGCAAGGGAGCAGTGGATGTGTATAGATTTCGTCGCACGATCGTAGAAGCCGGGGCATGGCTGAAAAGAAGCCCTCTGCTCCTTTGGGTCGCCCCCCCCCCTCCTCCTCCTCCTCCTCCTCGTCCTCCTCCTCCTCCTCCTCCTCCTCCTCCTCCTCCTCCTCCTCCACGCGCCCCCCCTTGTGCGCGCCCGCCAGCAGGCAGTGGCCGGCGAGGTTGAAAACTGCCTTGCGCCTCGCATCTGTCCGGGGTACGCACGGTCGGACCGCGGTATAAGATCGAGGTCGGGTAGGGTATCCCGATGTGTTTCGCGTCAGTTGGATGGTTTTGCGCATCCTGGGGGAGGGTACCCTCGGTTCTTCTTATGGTTTGGGGGTTGTTTTGGCCCGCGGACGGTCTCATGTCTTTGAAGGATGTTCCTCTGAGCTAGGTCCACCGTAGAGCAGGTGCAGTCAAAAGGGTGGGTCAGGGAGCGAACCCAGCTTGAGCGTTTTTCCTCCAACCCCACCGCTGGCCCCGCTCCCCGCAGACGATTGCCGGCGAGATCAAGGAGCCAGCTTCATGCGGATATGTCCGTTCTGCATTGGCCGTCCAGATCGTTGTTCTTTCAACCCTCTCTCTGGCCCTGTTCCCCTGGCACTGTCCTCTGAGTTGGGGATATGCTGCCTTGGCCACGGGCTTCCACGTCCTTCGATTCAGACGCAGTCCATAGCAGCGGTTCCGGGCTCCGATGTGCTTTGCTCATGGTGGCGCGACTTTGAGGGTGGACACCTCCAGCGTGCAACCTTACAAGTTGGATCTTGGCTTACAGCCAAGACTCGAAGAAGAGAGACACACACACACATGAACATAAGCTTTTGGCGCTCCGCGCGGACTTCTTGGATCCGCGCCTCGGCCCCCCGGCGAAAGGCCGGAGGGGGGTCCAGCGCGACTCCGAGAGATCCGCGCGGAGCGCCAAACGTTATATGTTCATGTGGCTTTTTCTTCGTCTAAAGACGCTCAATGAAGGTCCACTTTGGGCTCGGGAGGGGGGTCCAGCGCGAATCCGAGAAATCCGCGCGGAGCGCCAAACGTTTATGTTCATGTGGCTTTCTCTTCGTCTGCAGACGCTCAATGAAGGTCCACCTTGGGCTCGGGGGGGGCCGTGGTCTTCGGGCCGCTCCTCGGAGCTGGGTCGGGGGGCCCACTCGTGACCGAGGCTGGCCGTGGCGAGAGACGTTCCCTCGCTCCGTCTGCAGCGTTCCTCAGTGATTAAGTGGGGCCTGTCCCTCTACAGGAGGACTGTTCAAAAATGGTAAAAAATAGTCTGAGGAGGTTTTTTTCCTATCATGTTTGGCTACTCTGGAGTATTTGTTTCGACAATTTTTTATGTACTCGTCCCCAAAAACGCATGCAGGGGGACATGCCCGACCTAAGTGTAGGATGAGGATCTTGAACTGGCTGCCTCGTAGCCGCCGTCGCGCGCACGGGATGCCTTCGAGTGTCCATGTGCATGCCTCCAAGACCTCTATTGGCAGAGACGACGATTTCCCGAATGACCCCCCCCGTGTTCTTTCCCCAACCGTCATCCTACATTATGGTGGCACGATGACTGTAGTCGTGTCGAGGATCTACTGTCCTGGGTCAATGCAAGCAAGGATCGTGCAAGATCCTGCATGATTTTGCGCACAAGCCCAGAAAATTAATCCCTGGCTTTGCAGGACCCTGCAACATTCCGCGCTCTGACTGACCCCCGTTTGCATTGACCCCCGTCTCTTGTCGGAAAATGGAACATGTACATTACCAGTGGCGGGCTTTTTGTCAATCCCAGAACTGTTTGAGGGTCGGGCGCGACGTCGGGGTGGTGTGGTGTATACTTCTTTATTCGTGTGAATTTGCCTGTGCAATTTTCAGTGTAGGACCGGAAGAAGCGTCGGTGTATGGAGTTTGGTTCCCTATCTTGAGCCCCGATCACGGCCCCCCTGCAGATGATGGCGGGCGAGATCAAGAACCGCGTCGCCTCCCAGCCCGCGCCGCGCGCCGGGGGGGCCGCGGGCGCGACGCTTGGCCAGGGCACGAAGGCCGCGCCCCCCCGGGGGCCCCGCCGCGCCGCGCGCTGGGCGCATGTCGGCCTTGAGTGACGACGACGACGAAGACGACGACGACGACGCCGAATACGACGACGGCGACGGCGAAGACGACGACGGCGACGGCGACGACGACGACGGCGGCGACGACGGCGGCGAACGACGACGCCCCCCCCCCTCCCCCCCAGTATTGACCTGCGCGCACGGATGTGTCCGCACAGCGGCCCTCCAGAGCCGCGCGCCAAAGATGGTCTCCGCTCTTGCGCATGGTTGGCCGGCGGGCACGGCAGGAGGGAGGGGGGGAGGTGGGCTCACTAAGGCGCTCCACTTTTTGAGGGCTTCCGTCCTGTGGATCGCCCTCCGCGAGGAGGGGGGAAGGAGGGGGGAGACGAGGAGGATCTGGGAGGGGAGGGGGGAGGAGCGGGAGGACGGCGAGGGGGAGGACTGACGCGTCTAGGGATCGCTGGGGCCGCGGCTGGCCTGAGAAAAAAGGAGGAGGCTGAAGAGGAGGGATGATGATGATGATGATGATGATGATGATGATGATGATGATGATGATGATGATGATGATGATGATGATGATGATGATGATGATGATGCTGATGATGATGATGATGATGACGATGGTGTTGATGATGCTGATGATGATGATTCTGATGATGCTGTTGATGATGATAATATGATGATGGTGCTGATTACGATGATGCTGATGCTGCTGCTGATGATGGTGATAACGAGGATGAGGATGAGGATGATGCTAATGATGATGATGCTGACGATGATGATGATGATGATGATGCTTGTGATAATATGATTATGATGGTGCGGATGATGATGATGATGCTGCTGCTGCTGATGATGCTGTTGATGATGATAACGCATGATGATGATCATGCTGATGACGACGATGATGATGCTGATGGTGCTGATGATGCTGATGATGCTGATGATGATGATGCTGCTGATGCTGATGATACTGATGGAGCTGCTCATGATGCTGCTGATGATGCTGCTGATGATGATGCTGATGATGATGATAACGATGATGATGATGATGATGATGATGATGATGATGATGATGATGATGATGATGGTGATGGTGATGGTGATGATGATGATGATGATGATGATGACGATGATACTGATGACGAGGATGCTGATGCTGCTGATGGTGATGCTGATGATGCTGCTGCTGATGATGATTAGGATGCTGATGATGACGATGCTGATGACGATGATGATGAAGCTGATGGTGATGATGATGATGATGATGATGATGATGATGATGACGATGCTGATGATGATGATGATGATGATGATGATGATGATGATGATGATGATGATGATGGGAGGGTGGTGGTGATGATGAATCTGGTGGAGATGATGATGATGCTGATGACGATGATGATGCTGATGCTGATGCTGCTGATGGTGATTCTGATGATGATGCTGATGATGATTATGATGATGCTGATGCTGATGATGATGATGCTGATCATGATGACGATGCTGTGGTACTGCTGCTGATGATGGTGATGCTGATGATGGAGCTGCTGCTGATGATGCTGATGATGAGGATGATGATGATGATGATGATGATGATGATGATGATGATGATGATGATGATGCTGATGATGATGCTGATGGTGATGATGATGATGCTGACCATGATGATGCTGATGATGATGATGCTGCTGCTGACGAGGATGATTCTGATGATGATGTTGATGATGTTGGTGCTGATGATGGTGATGGTGATGCTGATGATGGTGCTGATGATGCTGATGATGATGATTCTGATGATGATTATGCTGATGATGATGAGGATGCTGATGATGCTGATGATGCTGATGACGAAGATGATGATGGCGATGATGATGATGATGATGATGATGATGATGATGATGATGATGATGATGATGCTGTTGCTGATGACGATGATGCTGGCGATGATGATGCTGATGCTGATGATGATGCTGATGATGCTGATGATGATGCTGATGATGATGATGATGCTGATGATGATGCTGCTGCTGATGATGATGATGATGATGAGGATGATGATGAAGATGATGATGATGATGATGATGTTGATGATGATGATGATGATGATGATGATGACGACGACGACTACGACGATGCTGATGCTGGTGATGGTGCTGATGCTGATGCTGATGCCGATGGTGATGATGATGAGGATGACGATGACGATGATGATGATGACGATGATGATGATGATGACGATGATGATGATGATGATGATGATGATGATGATGATGATGATGAGGATGATGATGATGGTGATGATTATGACGTTCATGAGGATGAGGATGAGGATGATGATGGGTATGATTATGACGATGATGATGCTGATGATGATGATGAGGATGATGATGAGGATGATGATGCTGCTGCTGAGGATGATGGTGGTGGTGGTGATGATGATGCTGATGCTGATGATGATGATGATGATGCTGATGATGATGATGCTGATGATGATGATGATGATGATGATGATGATGATGATGATGA